AGGATGTTGAGGATGATTAGTAGTATGGAGACTCATTTCTGCAGAAGAAAAATCATTTGATGGAGCATCTATAGAAAGGAGTTGAGAATTGGTAGAGTTATCATTCTGAGGATTGGATGTGGAAATAATCACAATTGTGTCATTTGAATTTGCAACTTGACTATTGGCTGAAGAGATATTAGGACAGATTGGAATTATAGTTGCTGGATCAAGTAAGTCATCTGCATTAACAGGAGTATTAATGCAGATTTTGTCAGGAAATGATGAAGATGAAACATTGTGAAAAGGAAAAATAGCTTCATGAAATTGGACATCGCGAGAAACATAGATTTGTCAGGATTGTAAGTCATATATGCGATATCCTTTTTGGCCAAATGGATAACCAATGAATATACCAGGGTTGGATTGCTCGTCAAATTTACGTTGAATGTTCATATTTTTAGCAAAACATAAACAACTAAAAACACGTAGTGAGGAGTATGAAGGAAGGGATCCAAGTAAAATATGATGAGGAGATTTATATCGAAGAGTTGAAGTTGGAAGTTTGTTTATAAGATACGCAACAGTAAGAATGCATTCACCCCAAAAAGAAAGAGGCAAGTTTGCTTGAAAACGTAAAGCTCTTGCAACATCAAGAAGATGTCGATGTTTACGTTCCACAACGCCATTTTGTTGAGGAGTGGCAACACAACTATGTTGGTGAATAATTCCATGATCATGAAACCAAGTTTGCATTGGTTTGGAAAGAAACTCTGAAGCATTATCAGAACGAATGGTTTGAAGTTAGGGAAGAAAAATATCCCCATCACCAGAGTTGATTTGATCAATTTTAGTATTAAATTGACGATGAATTTGATTAAAAAAATGAACTATCATGTTGAAAGTTTCAGATTTGTGCTTCATTAAATAGAGCCAAGTACATCGTGAATAATCATCGATAATGGTTAGAAAATAACGTGATCCATTTTGAGACGGTATAGAAAACAGACCCCAAATGTCAACATGAATTAATTCAAAGCAGTGAGTGGAACAAGATAAACTGTGAGAGAAAGGGAGGCACATTTGTTTAGCACGCGGACATATATCACAGACAAATTTTTTATTTGTATTAATATTTGGAAATTTTCTAACAATGAAATTTAAACGAGACTTTGAAGGGTGACTTAGATGTGAATGCCATAGATCAAACTTATTATGATGCATAAAACTAAAATAAAAACTTGATGAATGACTAAGACGAGAATGATGTCGGTCATGCTTATAGAAGACTTGAAAGTAGAATTTGATGCTAAATCGACATTGAGATAAAAGAGTCCATTGCAAGCACTACCCCAACCAATCGTCTTCTTTGTTGCTCGGTCCTGAAATATACATTCAGTAGATGAAAAAATTGCATCACAATTTGATGAATGTGTTAATTGTGAAATAGACAATAAATTGAATTTGAAAGTTGGAATGTGAAAAACATTCGTGAGTGTGAGTGATGGAGAACAACAAATTGTGCCTACGTGTGTCACAGGCGCTTGAGAACCATCAGGCAATTGAACAAAGATGTTTTTGTGAAGAGGAAAAAATGAAAAAAAAAAGACAGAGATGTACAAATATGATTAGAAGCACCTGAGTCAATAATCCATGAAGAAGGGAAATTAGCAAACGCGGTACCTACCAAATGGACGGATGGACCAATAGTATCGTCCTTGGCTAGAAGTGTCAGGAGTTTTTGATATTATTCAGACGATAAGTTATTAATAGGATTAGTGGAAGTGGATGACAATGTCCCTATTTTCTTTGTCGACTTATCAGGAAAGCCATGAATCTGATAGCAAGTAGCAAGGGTATGGCCATGCTTATTATAGTGGTCACAGAAAGGATGTTGGCATTTGTTGGGTGGTCGAGAGCTCAGTTTGGAAGCTTGGAGTGCAGTAGAATCAACAACAGGGTTTGATTTGAAATTGATCTCTTGTTGTTTTTCTTCTTGACGGACTAGATTGTAGATACGTTGGATTGAAGGAAATGGCTCCATCATAAGAATTTGACTACGAATAACTAAAAAGGGATCATGAAGACCTTGAAGAAACTCCATGGCGCGATCTTGATTTTGTTGATCAATAATTCTTTTAGCATTACCACAGATACATGGAGAGATAAGAGCAATGGAATTGAGCTCATTTCATAAAGACTTAAGTTGTGTGAAATATAAAGAGACAGACATACCGTCTTGCTTGATAGCAGAAATTGATTGTGTCAATTGATATATTTTAGGAGCATTTGATTGAGAAAAGTGATCCTTTAAATCAATCCAAATTTGTGTTGCAGTTTTAGTATACAAAATACTTGGACAGATTTTAGACGAGATAGAATTAAGAATCCAACTAACAACTAAATCATTGCATCGTTGTCAATTAGGAATATCATCTTTCTGCTTAGGAGTTGGGAGTGATTCATCAACAAAACCAAGTTTGTTTTTTGCATGAAGTGCCATTGTCACAGCACGATTCCATGAACCATAATTGTCTCTTGTCAGCAAAGGTGTGACAAGAACAGTTGATGGACTATCTGAGTGATGAATGGTGCAAGGGTCTGGGGTGATGGATGATGAATTCTCAGAAGAAGGAATTTCGTGAGACATGATGGAGAATTCCATGATCAACTGATACCATGTAAAACGAGAAAGAATAAAGGAAGGAAATGATTTGTGAACAGGTATCATTCATTGATATGCTGAGACTTAAATGCACAGGTTTACAAAAGTTTAAATTCAAAATAGAGAGAAATTAGGAAATTAATTTACAGCTATATTATCTATAATTTGAAACTATTGATATCCTAATAATAACAATTGATTTGCTGTTATCAAGATTAAATCGTTGCTCCTTGATTTGCGCCATAGTTGCACTACTGAAAAATTACTGCTCCTTGATTTGTGTCCAACACCCACTCCCTTGCACCATTGTTGTGCTCTATCTTATCTCATTTTTGCTCTTCATTTATGGCTTTCCAAGATCTCAATCTAGGGTTCACTCATAATCACAATCACATCCCACTCCACTCACTATGTATTGTTGTTGCTTCTCTTTGTATAAATGGAGAAACCTCTCCCGTGCTCTTTTCGGACAAAATACTCTCACTCTCCCTCTATGGCTCTTTGTATTTGTTTGATGTTTCTCTTTTCTCCCATATTTTCATACGAGAACGCAAAAAAAGGTCATTTTGATACATATTTCAATTTAAGTTAATAATCTGTATTTGGTTTAATTTTAAGAAGGTAATCAATCATCGTTAAGCACGATATATAATATTACGACGTGTAATGATTCTTTAAAGGAAAAAAAGTAAATTTAAACTTGTTTTTCCATCAAACTTGACTAAATCTGAATACCTGTGTGATGATGAGAATAAGAAGAATCATAAGATAATTTTATTTTTGATGTTTGTTATCCGTCTAATGGAAAGGGGCATAAAGTCAAATAGGCCCAAATTTTAGCATTCTTAGTTTGATTTGATTTGAGATTTTCAGGCCCAAATCCCATGAATGTACACTCGAACTAAATTTAAAGTAAATTGCCAATTTGGAAGAAACATTTTCCTTTGTTAAATCCACTTGCACTACTGATACGCGAGGTTTGGCAGAAAACAAGGCGCTCGCAAATTTCGCGTGACTGACGACGAACACCCACATTACTTGTTGCTGCTGCATAACCACGTCATTCTCAACTTCATTTCTATGAATAAGAGACAACAACAAACAAAAATGTGTCGCGACATATTGACAATATCTCAACTTCACATTACTTTTAGTTTTGTTCGTATTTTCATTGAAGTTAATGTGATGCAGTCTGATATTGTTAAATCAACTCACGACTGGTCCCAAATAGAAAGCGCCGAATGGAATTAAAATTGATCGCTCGTCTCTTCTACAGTTCTACTTCCTCTGATTACGAGATTAAAATTGTAAGTTTGCTGATTCCTATAAAAATATCTTTTACGATATATTTCAATTAAGTTTTCAAAAAACTATTTTTGATTTTTTAAAAGAACACTTACATATTTATTATATCTTCAAAGAACAGTTTCAATATTGTTTTATAAAAAAATATATATGAACGAGCATTAATAAATAATAATGTACCAAAGAAAAAAAAACAGCTGTAATTGCACGATTGATGGGGGTTCAAATGAGGCATTTCCTAGGAGTTTCTGCCATTTCAGAGAATGGGACTAGTCAACCAGTACCAATGTGTACATTGACATTTCTTATCCGCGAGTAAATATTTATACAAGATAACGCATACGTTACGGGGAAGGATCGATGAAAAATACAAGGTAACTTCCCCTTCTTTTTTGAATAAACAAAGGTGGTTTCTTGTCTCAATTTGCCAATCTCATTGTAAATCGACAAATATACATAATTAGTCACTCGTTAAAAGAATATTCATTTACTTGTTGAATGGCGATATAAACAAAGACTACCAGTTATCTTTTGTAATACATTTTTTACTCTCAAATTAATATTTTTATATATTTTTTAATTTTTAATAAATTTTATCCAATACTAGTACTTCTCTTAAAGTATATATTATTTTGCTTTCAAATAATTTAATGCATATTTAATGCATAGAAAGTGTATGAACAGGAGGAAAAGGTTAAACAGTTTTGTTGTTGACTTGACCTTGTTGGTTTCCTTCTAACACGTACCTTCTTTAATTTAATTCATTGTCCTCTTCCTTTTATTTAGTTCAACAAGGAGAAGCTAGTCTACTTTACGTGGTTAGCGTGAGACATTAACCTCCAGCGTGTTGTTAATTCTCTCACAATTCATTTGCAACTCGTGTGGAAACAATGAATGTAGAGGTATGGAAAAAACAGTTTGAGTGAAAATTTCATTTTAGCATTTGTGGAAAGGTAGATACATGGTCGGTGTCGTTTGATTCAGTCATCATTGTTCTCTAGTTAGGCGCCTGAGTTTTTTTCCTTGGTCTTCTCTTTCATATTAGTTTGTGTCAATTTTAGACCTCGCAATTTCTTGAGCCAATTCTTGTTCCCAAGTTTGCATATTAAGCATTAATTTCCCAGAAAATATATTGCTTGCAATATAGTATTTCTAGTCAAAATTTTGAGGTTTATTTTTCTTCCTTATTCAATGTTCTAGTAATCTAGTTTGTTTCTTCCATGAATATGAACATATTTATATGTATGTATTTAATTTAGCATATGGTTTGCAATTGCAGCTGGAGACTTGGACAGCTTTGCTTGTCATTTTGTGTTTCCTTGGGTTGATTCTAAAGGAATCGATCATGGGAGGTAAGAGCTCAAAAGGGTCTGATAGAAGACATGTTTCATCATATGGATCTGCTGGTTCTTCATCTTCATGGGATAACTATGGATACCCACAATCACCATATTCATACCCACAACAGAATCCGTATCATACACCTCACCACCCCCGTGCACCTGCTCAATTCCACGACTATGCACAGCCAAAAAGGAGGCTGGATAGGAGATATTCAAGAATATCCGATGATTACCAGTCACTGGATGAGGTAATTTGATCGCTACATAGTTGTGTTGTTGTGATTTGCCTTGGTATAATTGTGTTTTGTTTATCAATGTATGAGCATTTTTTTAATTAATTTTTGGTTTGGGCTGTTTATACAATTGACTTTTATGTTTGGTGAAATAGGAGGATAGGGACAGTGGGGTTGGGGACATTACATTGACTTGAACTAGTCTATATTCCTTTCTCGCGTTTTCAGAAGGTAATGTGAATGCATTAGATGAAAAGAGTTAAAGTCAGCAGTCAGCTCAAATGAAAAGAAATAAAGAAAGGGAATCACTTTTGTTCTTTCTTAAATTAGACTTCAAATTTCTGTTTGTGATAGACCAACTTAAAAATCGAAATGTTTAGGCTCTTAATAAGGATTTGGTGTAACAAGTAACAACAAACCCGAGAAGTATCTCTTTTTGTTTATACAGAGACAGTCACACATACGCAGCAAATGCTGTTAGAATCAGTGTCAGAGCTAGACTTCCAAAAGCATCTTGTTTGGGGGACATGTTCAAGAAAAATAAAATTTTTCTTAAATGCTGAATCTAGGGGCTTCTGAAAATACAAGACCTTTACCTGGAATTGTTAGTTTGTTACTTTTTTATTTTTTACCATGCGTAAAACCTTTGTACTTCCACACTTTTTTTAAGAGACACCTTTTACTGCCGCATATCTTGAAACTAGGCATGACCAACTAAAAAGCTGCTATGTAAAGAGACTACTGTTTCTCGTTTTTTATTCTTCTACCTGATCTTACATGCTTGAATCACTACAGCATCCCATAATTCAATTTATAATATTCCTAGCAGTACACGTATTATATCGATGTCTGATTAGGATACACGTGGTTCAGAAAAAAACTTTGTCAGTAACCAGTACATTACCCTGAACCTACTAGTCCCAGCGTGCAACAAGATGGAGCTCAGGATTGCTATTATTATTGCCTTAAACAGATAGTATCATTCTGTAAGTTACAAATCAGTAAAAACAACAGCTTATTTTGTTAAATAATGAAATAATTGCACGCAGGTTACTGCTGCTCTTTCACATGCTGGCCTGGAATCTTCTAATCTCATTGTGGGCATTGATTTTACAAAGAGCAATGAATGGACAGGTTTTATTCCGTACTCTCAACTTGATGCTTGAGTTTCTTGTATTGAGTTGCGGTACTAAATAATATTATTCACTTTGAAAATCAGGGAAGAGGTCATTCAACAGAAAAAGTTTACATCATATTGGAAGTGGTCTTAATCCTTATGAACAAGCAATTTCGATTATTGGAAAAACTTTAAGTGCTTTCGATGAGGATAACTTGATTCCTTGTTTTGGATTTGGGGATGGTAATGCCACATATACTTCTTCATGCTTTTCCAATTGTCTATGTTTCCAAATTACAAACTTGATTGTGTTTCTTTCTTACCTCTCACTCTCAGCATCAACACATGATCAAGATGTCTTTAGTTTCCATTCAGATGCGACGTTCTGCAATGGGTTTGAGGAAGTTTTGTCAAGATATAGAGATATGGTTCCTCGCCTCCGACTTGCAGGTGTTGCCTTCATCAATAATAGTCTCAGATAGCATTTTCAAATTAGGCTCATCATGACTCATTGCATATATGTGACAGGACCCACTTCGTTTGCCCCTATTGTTGAGATGGCCACGACTATAGTTGAGCAAAGTGGCGGTCAATATCATGTCTTGCTGATAATTGCCGATGGACAGGTATCTTCAATACATATTTCATAACTAGTTTAAGATGCACCAATCAGCAAAATCTCCAGGGGCAGTTATGATGCTACCTTTGTCAATATGACTCTGTCATAAATAAAAAAAGCTAAAATGTTATAGTAGTATCATTCCTAATAGCATTTTTTTGTTTGGTTTGCCTTGCTAGTAATAATCATAATATCTACTTAAACACATAAACACCTTGCCATTGACAGTGGAAGGAGAAAAGCGACTAATATTTTACTGTAGATATTCCTAGTTTCTTTTGTTTCCACGTCTAAGATCATAAAAAATTGATGCTTAAAATTTTGCCACAGGTGACAAGAAGCGTTGACACACAACATGGTCAGTTAAGTCCACAAGAGCAGAAGACAATCGATGCAATTGTAAAAGCTAGGTAAAAATATTGTAGTTTTCTTTCCTATGGAATGCCACCCTGCATTCTAATTCTTATATACTCATTAAATTGTAGCGAGTATCCACTGTCAATAGTTTTGGTGGGGGTTGGAGATGGACCATGGGATATGATGAGGGAATTTGATGATAACATTCCAGCTCGAGCATTTGACAATTTTCAGGTTTGTTGTAATTTACTTAGCCATATTGACTTGCCATATTTACATCTTCCAAATTATGCTGAAATGTGAGTATTTTGTTTTTGGCTGCGTGTAGTTTGTGAATTTCACCGAAATAATGTCAAAGAGTGTAGATTCAAGCAGAAAAGAGACAGAGTTTGCTCTAGCAGCTTTGATGGAGATACCTTCTCAATATAAGGCAACCATAGATCTAGGCATATTGGGGTAATAAATAAATATTGATATATGAAAAATATGGTACTTATAGGCTATTATAAATGTTTTCAATGGGGCAATAACTGAATTTGCATCATATCTTCATTGATGAAAAGTAGTGCAAGGAGGGGACATTCACCAGACAGAGTTCCTCTACCTCCACCTCATTATGAGAGGGCTTCTTCTAGCAGCAGTGCGACATCTTTTCGTTCAAACAGTTTTCAGCAGAGTACAGCTACATATTCTGCCTACGATAATGGAATTAACACAGAATCAACTTCAGGTGGCTTATATGATAACAAGGTATTTACACCATTCCTTCCAACCTAAGACATGACTTTCATATAATACTGTGACATAGTTTAACTTTCCTCTCCTGAGTCCTAACGTGCTCATCATGATTTATGATCATTTATGTGTCACTTTTCTATAATGGTTTACAAATGACACGGTTAACTGCAGCTTTGTCCCATTTGTCTTACTAATGGAAAGGACATGGCCTTCGGTTGTGGACATCAGGTAACCAATTAAACTGTATGTTGTTGATTCATCTTGAATAAAAGACTGAAAAAGGACATCAATTTTACTAAGTTTTCTTCCCACTGTGTTTCTTTCATCACACATGGGGCAGACTTGTTGTGACTGTGGAGAAGGCCTTGAATTCTGCCCCATTTGCCGGAGCACAATCAGTACCAGAATAAGGCTTTACTAGTTAGCTTTGCTTCAAAACTGCTTTCAATGGCAATTGCATGCATTGCCAGAAGAAGGTTAGTTGCTTAAGTTTGATGATGTCACAAACTGAGTGCTTAGTTGATGCAATAAGTTAAAAACTAATGATTTTCATCATAGGCAGGACAGCAAAGAGATGAGTAGGGTTGGCCTGGATCATGATGGATAGGTTAATTATTGTGTACAAAGCTTCATTTCACATTTTTGAACCAAAACATATGCCAGGGTAGGAAGACTTGTGCACGGGTGTTGCCTCATTGTACATATGAAGTTTGTGCGTCTTGAAGGTTTCACTTTTTGAAGTTAGCTGCTTGTTTGTAAAATGATCTCTTAGAAATTTTTTTAATTATACGATTTGTTTAGTTTTCATCTTGTATGTAAATGTATGTCTTGGTTGCCTTGGAGCATGTACGAAACTAAATATGCATAGTGTGCTTGATAGGCTTCTCAGTCAATCTTGTTTAATAAAAGAATTTCATTTGATAAAGTATTAAAAGGAATAATTACTAACGTCTTTTAGTTTTTAGCTAAAAGTTTTTATATATATATATATATACACACACACGTTGCCTTCTTTAATTCATTTAATTTTAGAAGCTTAATATCTTTTCCTCGAGTACGATCGTTGCTTAGAGCACTGGTATTTGTAATAATTTTATTTATACAAAATAAAAATACATATTTTAAATTTAAAAAAAATAAATTTTAATATATTAATTTATTAAAAATAAAAAATATGTCCAATATAACAAAAAGAAAATAAATATTACAACATCCATTATTCCAGAATACAATAAATTACTAATATCATGTGAAGGATTTAATAAAATGATTAAAATTTTTTATAATATAAAATTATCAAAATAAAAAAAATTATTTATGTTATTTAATTTAATTTCATTTAATAAAAAATTACAAAAATAATAAAAATTTTAAAGGAATTGAACACATATACACATGAAAATATACGCATATTTGAAGAACATATTGTACGCATGAAAATAATTATCCGAATAAATAACTACCCCTTCAGCCATTGTTAATATTAGCGAATGAGTTGAAAACATACCAAGGAAGATTAAACCCTAATGTGAATTATAAGAAAAAAAAATGTGTTTGTCATCTAATATAGCTAACTTTTCTTTCCATAGCAATTAATAATCAATTGGACGTCGATGATTAGCAAGTTAGAAAATTTTGTTAAATATATTCATTACAGGAAAAATAAGTTAACTTAAAAATTAAATATATATTTAGAATTATTTGTCTATAAACTACAAAGTCAATAAATATATAAATAAAAAACATGCATATGAAATAAAATATCTGTTTAATTAGTTGTAATGTCATTTTGTTTATGGTGAAAATTACAACTGACAAATAAATAAATTTAAGAGTAACTTGAAACTAAATTTTAAGTTTTTTTAGATTTTCTTAAGTGTGTTTCTAGTGTAACAATTTAAATTAACATAGTAAAGCATAGATTTACACAAGAATAGTAGATAATATGTAGAATTAAACCAAATGTAAAAGTTTATAGAGACATATTAAACAAAAACATAATTTCAGGAACATGAAATGTAAAATGGATTAGAAATAAACAAACTAGAATTAAGTTAAATGTAGACATACGACTTCCTTATTGAACTATAACAATTGTGAATATCTTTGTAGCTGATGTTTGGCTCAAGCATAATTTCAGCGTATAGAAAATTATAGGTGCAGTGTCTGGGGCAAAAAGTCGTCCCCTGTAATGTAAAGCTTTGTACTATTTATAGGTAATATATCTTAACCGCTCTCCTCCTTTTGGGGGTCTCTTGATAACTACTTCTGCACGTACTTGCCTTCAATGCTGCCACCTATTATCCATAACTGCTTATGATCGTGCTTATCATCGTGGCTTCTCTATAACCATTGTCGCTCATGATTATCTCTTTGTGTCTTGTGAATTTAGAATAATTTTTCTTGTCGATCATGTTTCGATAGGTTTTGGCTGTTTTCAATCTGGGGCTTGAACATCCCCAAAACTCTTCGAAAGACAACCCTTTTTTCAACCAAGATTAAGGCTTTTCTCATAATCCGTCAAAACTCCTCAAAATGTAGCCTTCTTTTCAACAAAGAATGAGGATCTTTTGCTAGTTTTCATAGAAACGTGTCAAAGAGTAGTTCATTTGACAAGTTTTTTAACCTTAGACCTAAAGTTTTCTTTGTTTTTTATTTGAAAGATGTGTGTATGTCACTGATCTTTGAGGTGTGTTTCTCCTAAAAAAGGCAGTTTATTTCCTACCATGAAAATTTGGAAAGGGCTTTGGTAACTTAGAAAATTTTCTTTTCTCCAAACAGATACCCCTAAAATATTAATTTCTCAAATTGAGATTTTAATATTTTATTTTTTTATAAAGGTAGGAAAATTTTTACAATTCAAATTTCCCTCCATTTTATGACGTCTTCAACTTCCTTTGAGCCTTCACAAGTCACATTGCTTGATGTCAATGCATTTAATGCAGCATATACATGGAAATTACCAAAAACAACCTATTATTGAGACGTGTGCCGTTCTATGGGGAGATTGAAGCAGTTTTTAGTCAAAAAGGCGTCCCATGATCTTTACAACTTCTCACTAAGTGCCAAAAGGCTTTGGACTTGGGCTATTTGTATGGGCTTTAGACTTGGTTAGGATCAGTATATAAGGTGGAGTTACCTTATCATTTTTTACGCTATCATTTTTACTCTACTCTTTAAGAGCTCTACTAAAGATAATCCATTTCTTTTGTGTCGAAGTTTCCTTTTGTTAGGATATCTGATTTGACTCAAGAATGGCCTCCAAGTCTAGAGTTCCTTTGACTACCTCCAATGTTGAGCTTGTGCCTATGGGTCATTGAGCTATCTCCTTGAGCCACCTCTCGAAGAAGAGAAATTGGCCATCTAGAAATCTCAGATACTAATCTCTTTTCTTATGAACTCGAAACCATACGTTGTTTTTGGATCCTTTTGTTCCTCATGAAGATCCTTTTGATTCCTCTTTTGCTTTTGAGGGTATCCTTACTTTTTCGTCTAACTATTGGCTCTTAATCTTCAAAAATTATTTAGGACTATGCTCCTTATCACCAAAGACCTATACATTCCTTGGCTAAATAAAGTCGAAAAAAAGAAACAAGAGAGTTGGAAAAGGTTAGGAATTTTTTACTTGATCCAACTCTCTAGGTATAACCTATCTTATAATTTTCCTATGCTTCTGAGTTCTTTCTTTTTCTAGAATCAAAGCACCAACTCCTTTCATGTTCCTTGTGGCATGATTACACCCACCCTCTTCGAGTTTGCTGCTATCACAAGACTTCGACCTATTGATCCTTCATTCCAACCAGACTTTGCACCCAAAAATTCAGTTGTCCTTCCAAATTTTACCAAACTTTCTTACTAACTCTTTATTTCCATCAACATGGGTAAGGATGGCCCTATAACTGACAAAGAACATGTTTCTTTCCTCATGTTTTGGCTCTTTGCATATGTTTTTTGCTCAAGATCCCTCCAAGTGCCTAAGGCATTGCTTTCGCTTGCTCAACTTTTACACAAGGAGTCTTCAATCTCTTTGGGGAAGCTCATTCTAGGCAATTTATACGAAAATATGAATGAAGCTGCCCACTTTCTAAGGTCCAATGATTCTCTTCCCATTCTTAGTGGGTCTTTTTGTTACTTCAACTCTGGCTGAATGCCATTTTTGAAAATAAACTCCAGAGAGCTTCGAATTTTGACTCACCTTTCTCATTGCCACTATTACCAAGAGGCATTGCTTTGAAGTCTTTTGACAATATTTTATGTTTTTCCTTGATCTTCGGGTTTTCACACCCGAATTAGCTCCCTTTTCTTTTCAAAAAGCGGATCGCTTTGGTTTAAGAGGCCTTTCCCTTTAAAAACCCCAAGTGACCCAATTAGAAAGCTTGCTAACTTGGAAGCAATTTCTTAGCCGCCAACTCCTTTTTAACAGTTTTACTTTGAGTTACTTTGAGACCATTTCGCGTAGTAGCTTATCAGCCAAATTTAGTGGCTAGACAATTTGGCATAAACTAGTTTAGGTCTTCTTTTATGCTTCAAGGAACCAACCAACATATCTTGGATGAAGCTCGAAAAAGCATTGATGAATTGAATAGAGCCATAAGTTTTTTCAAAAAACGTAGGACAAAGCTTTCTTCCATGGAATTCGAGCCCTCCTTCTACTACACCCAAACCTTTCAAGATTGGTGGTCTTGTTACTACCAACAACATAATATTTATGTCGAAGAGTGCTACAAGAAGATGATGTCTACTTTTTCTGTGTTGCAGAAGGGAGATTCAAAGGCCAAAATGAGAGATATACATGTATGAGAAATTCAATCCTTTGAAAAAAAATTTAAAGTCATATATTTACCTACAACGATTTCATATAATATAAACGAGGCTGCTGAAACTTTGAGGGCCAAAATACTAGAAAAGGCAGAAAAATATCAAAATTACTGCCCCTTGGAAAATTTTTTGGAAAGAATCTTTTTGAATAATTTTGTCCTATCTTTCCATCTTTTCTAAATTGTGATTTTTTTCTAGCCTTGCCAATAATTCCCCTAAAGTGGGTTGATATTTCTACCACTAGCATAATTTTTAATGATTTGGCCCCTCCTCGAAATTGAGTAACAGTTTCGAAGTATTTTTTAAAACATATTTTCATCATTTTTACCTCAAAATTTAAGATGTAAAATTTCTTACAAAATTTCAAGCTAGTAAGGTTTTATTTATCATTCTCGAAATTTTATTTGCATCTTCCACATTTATTTACTTTTTTGAGGTACTTGAAATTTTGTAGCTATCCTGACAGAACTATTCATAGACAGATATGATATGGAAAACTAGGATGAAGATGAACCTCCTAAAAAGAAGGTAAAATCTTCTCGAAAGGGTTCTTCCTCTTTTGCCCCTCAGCCCTCCTTTTGAGACTCCTAAGGTAAACTTTTTGAGGTCTCTCTTTTCTTTCCATGATCTATACTTATTTTTCTCTTCTTTTCAGGCTAAGGCTTCTGGAAAAGCAAAGGTTTCTGTCAAAAAAGTGACCTTATCTTCTAAGTTGCCAACACATCTTACTGCAGAGGTAATTTGCTTATTTATCTTATGCACACTCTTTTTCAACAGAATTAATCCTTATTTCTCTTTCAGGCGCCCAATACAATTCTCTGCCAAGAACTCAATAGCATGAAATTCAAAGTGGTTTGAGTTGGGAGCCTGAAATAACAGCGCAAGCTTCGAGTTCTTCCTCAAATGACAATATTTTGAGCTCAGCAAGCTCGAGCTCTAAGGACCAACATCAACCAAAGCAACCTTCATCAATAAGGGTTCAAAACTTCTCGAATTGATTTTTCCATAGTTGGATTTTCTAACTGTTTGTTTCTAGGCACCTTCCGATCCTCAAGAGGCATCGCCTCACACTTCTCCGGTTGTTGATGTCGAGAATTCAAATTCTAGGGGCATGGCTTCGCCCCCAAAGGCACCTATTTCTATCGAAGTGCCTCCAATTGAAATGGCTCCAGTCAAGGTGCCTCAGGAATCTGCTCCAGGGGTAACTCTCCCTGAAGTTTTGTCCTTTACAGAGATAAACTTGGACGATTTCAACATAATGGTGGAGGAAGATCTGAAGGGAGCCCTCGACAAACTTTTGGTTAGGTCTTTTACATTTTCTTCATTGAAGACATATTCAAGGTCACATTCTGAAGTCTTCAAGCCCACTGAATCGGCTAAGAAACTGCTTGAAGAGTTAAGGTGTTTGGTCTTCGAGAAACCTTTCATGAAGAATATGCCCATTGACAAAGCCTTAGTTGCAAACATCAAGGAACTATTATCTTAGTTAAAGGAACAAATATCTCCTTTTCCTAAAGGCGTTCATCGGTTTGAGACACTTTTTGTTCTCTAGCCATTGTGGATCAAATCAGTGTTGTCAATGCCAGGCATGACCAAGCTCAAGTTGCAAAAGACACAACTTTTCAAAAAATGAGAGAAGCTTGAAATGGGCTGTGTAGGCTTAAGGAATCAACGAATAACACTAATTTGAAAAAGAAAGAAGTTAGGGTGTTTGGGATAAGAAAAATTTTCTAAGTTAAAAATCATCTTGAGGAAAATTACATTTCAACAAGTTTTGAGGGTTACAAAGGAGCCAAAAAATAGGCCTAAACATCAGGGAATATTGAAAGATTATCTAAGACCTTTAGTTTTATTAAAAGGGACACATTTCGAGCTATTTTAGGAGATTTTTATCACATTGTTGATTTTTCTTTAAGCTGCTTGAAAGACAAGAAAATATTCTAAGTCCACATGATTAAAAGCTTTTTTGAAGAGTTTTTGATAAAGACCCAAGTCCCTGACACTCAAAACTGCTCGAAAAGCATGACTGACAAGAAAATATTCTAAGTCCACAAAACTAAAGGTTTTTTCGAGGAGTTTCCAAGTCACCGACACCCAAAATTGCTCGAAAAGCAGGACTAACAAGAAAATATTTTAAGTCCACAAAACTAAAGGCTTTTTCGAAGAGTTTTGAGGATTTTTCAAGTCACTGACATCCAAAACTGCTCAAAAAACAGGACTGACAAGAAAATATTCTAAGTCCACAAAAATTGATAGCTTTTCGAGGCATTTTGAGGAGTTTCCAAGTCCCTGACACCCAAAACTGCTCGAAAAATAGGAAGTGGTCAGAAAATATTCTAAGTCCACAAACATGGCTGAGCTCCAGTCCCTCCAGAATTGTTCAAAAAATAGAAATGAGCAAAGAAAATATTCTAAGTCTACAAGACTAAGACAAACTCTCAAAACTCCAAAAATTGCTCGAGAAACAGAAATGAGCAAAGAAAATATTCTAAGTCCATGAGATCAAGACAAGCTCTTAAAACCCCAGAATTAGTCGAAAAGAGAAGGAAATGAGAAATTATTCTAAAGCCATAAATTAAATGAGCTTCCTAAGACCCTCCCATAACAACTCGAAAGACAGAAAAATTGACTTGAAAGGTTAAGTGCAAAAGCAGTTATTAGCAGTTACCAACACTAGGCAAAGGTTCAACTATGCAAAGAAAAGATCGTGGGTGATAACAGTTACTAGCAGTTACCGACAGCACGATCACAAGCAATCGTGGATAATGGACATAACAGTTGAAGGCAGTTACTAAGAAGTGCCCGCAAAAGGAGGAGGACGGTGGTGATCTTCCTGCCTATAAATACCCCAAAGCGTCATTCTACAAAGGACGACTTTTTGCACCCAGACACTGCACCTAAACTCTCTAAAATGTTGAAACCTTGCATCGCGCTAGACACCAACTACAAGGAGACCTACGGTGGCTGCTGTTCACCGTTGTGAGGAGTCGTACGTTTACATTCACGCACCTTTACATTCCTGCACATTTACCTTTCTGCATTTTAATTTCAGCTTGTTTCCTATTTAGCACATTTTTGTAAAAGACATCTACTTTTGATTAAATTCTGTTTCACTATTAGTTGCTATTTCTGTTTAATCCTCTGCTTTATCACGTCAATCCTACTGTTACGTTAACAATACACTTAAAAGAATCTAAAGAAGACTTAATCCAGTCCCCAGATTGATCTTTGGATTATTTATTTATAAAACTGTCATTTTTCACCGTAAACATAGGGGTAGAACAATTGATATGGAGAAATAGCTCAAAAGAGCTTGCAAGAAAGAGGACATACTAAATATGGTCAGCGCGACTTATGAGAAAAAGAGGCCAACTTTGATAAAAAATGTGAAGATCTTAACTACTGAAAGAGCTCAAGCTATGGAGGATATTTCGAATTTGGATACTATGCATGACTCTCAAAATTAGATATCAAAATTTAAGGGCTAACTGAAATGTGCTCGAAGTCTTTTTTTAATTTTGATATAATTTCATTTTTTGTTGTACTCGAATCCAATGATTGTACATTTGTCTTTTGTACTTGTAAATTTGAGTAACGATTTTTTATCTTTAATGATCAAGTTATTTTGAATTTATATATGTTGGGTTTGTATAGTTTTAAGTACTTTTCATTTATCGATGAAATTTAACTATTAGTTCTTATATCTCAAACGCATACGCGTTATTAGAAAACATGTTTTCTATCTCGAAAGATCTTTCACAATTTGAGGATTATTTGCCAAATCTTCTTAATTTCTTGTTTAACGGTAAAATAACTTTTCACATTAAGTCACCCACATTAAATAACTTGCTTTAAACTTTTTTATTGTATGCCCTAGACATTATTTCTTTTTGTTGACCCATCTTTTTCAAAGCCTTTAAATTAAGGTTTAGTAATCATGACTTGGTAGCTCAAATTGCCGTTGTAACTTGACTGATTAGTAAATTAACTTCAACACGTACAACAACTTTATGGCCATAGACTAGTAGAAAGCAACAAAAGCAAAACTCAAGTCAAGAAGCAACGGAGAAGCAAAATCACGAAGAAAGGAGGGAAAAAAGCAAAAAGTAGCGCAAGTTGTAATAAGCAATAGCCACAAGTACCAAATAAGAAGCAATAGCCAAAATTTTCCACTTCCTTGCATTGCAAGTGTTGCAGTGTTCACCGCAATCCAAGTATGAACTTTGGCCGTCGCTATTAATTTCCTTTTCTCTCGAAGCAAAACTATATATGGTGTGTGGGATACAAATTAATTTTGTTGGCATTTTCCGAAAGAATGTCACCTAAGGTTGCGTGATATCACCACCGAATAATTACTTAGAGCCACGTTTAAGTTAAAATATTTATTATACTTCAAACTAGCAAACTGGATGGAGTCACGGTACGTCTACAGTTCTGTGCACAATGCAATTTCTCATGCTAATGCAATACTACACGTTGGTGTAATTTTACTAGTTAATGAACATTTTTTGTTTGTTTATGCTTTTACGTCATAATAATATTAGGAAGCACACATAACCCAAAAAAAAATAGTATAAGCAATCAACGACATTCTATGTCAATAAGATATATACCAAATTTATGAGAACTATTGTACTTGTCACAGTTTCAATGATGGTGGTATTAATTGTTCCATTAAAAAAATGTCCAAGACCAAAGGTGGTCTTGAGTTTAGGGTATCCTTACTCATTAGAATTCAGATCGATCTGATGATTTTGAAAAGTAAATCCAACTAGTTAAGCTAGATTTACTTTACATATTTATATATAAATTAAACTATAAATAAATAAAATTTAATCATATTTAATTTGAATATCGATTTCATAATTTAAAATCTAATAATTTGTTATCTGAACGAATTAGATGTGACGACTCTCTTTCTTCTTCCATGCATGTATGTTATCGTTCTAATTAAAAGTGATAATTATTCAAATTCAATAATTTAAAATTTTTATTTATTTTATATTTATATACATGATATTGTTGATCAAAATAATAATTATTGAATCAATTAACCTGAATTTCTTCTCTAGTCTCTAGTTATCTGTGTGTTATATATTTTAAGAGCGTGTCTTATTTACTTAACTTACTTTATAAATAATTATTCATGGGAAATAAATTTGAACTAGGTATACAAATTTGAAACTGAAGCGGTTAACTATCATGTCTAAAATTTTACTTATTTGAAATTAATAAAAAAAAAATACCAAATAAGATTGCATAATGTTCTTTTATAACTTTTTGTAAATAATCAATCAAAATAATCCAATACGAACTCCAGCATGTTAAATAGACTGACCGACTGGTTTGACGATCTTATATGAAAAATTAAAATTAGTTTTTATATATATTTTTTAAAATTATAATTAAGATACTCCCTAGTGAGGGAAAATTTGTTATACTAAAGTTAAACAGTACTTAAAAGCAGGAAAAAAAATACGCTAGAAATGCGAAGAAAAAGATTTACAGCTCTGAAGTCAGTATCTTATAAGAATAATTTAATGATAAAGACGTAAAAGACATAATTTTCATAAGAAATGAGAAAATAACATTATTCAAAAGACCAAGTCACTTGAACTTGAAAATTAATTTTGCTACATTTTATAGTCCTATATATATATTCGCGTGTTCCGCCGTGGAGAGAGTCTCATTAGTGCGGAATATGTGTTGTTTGATATATGGCATCAAAGAAGCACGAAATGGGTAAGGGGTGGTGCAGTTTGGTTCTAAAATATCTGTGGGTGCTAATAATAACATTGCTCATCGAAGTTAAGCCATTGGGTGTGAAGGGTCTTCCACTTCACACGAATTCTCGATGGATAGTGAACGAAGATGGGGAAAGGGTGAAACTGGCTTGTGTGAATTGGGTGTCCCATTTGGAAGGATTGGTGGCTGAAGGGCTCAGCAAGCAACCTATGGATGTGATTTCAAGTGGAATAAAGTCAATGGGCTTTAACTGTGTGAGGCTCACTTGGCCTATTCTTTTGGTCACAAATGAGTCTTTGGGTTCTCTCACCGTTAGAAGCTCCTTTCAAAACCTTGGCCTCCTTGAAGCCATTGCTGGTGTCCAAGCCAACAACCCCTCCATCATCGGTCTTCCCCTCATCCAAGCTTTTCAGGTATTTTACTTTCACCTAATCCAATTACTAACTTCAATCATCCTTATCTTGTTAGTTGTTAATCTTATCGCTTCTGTTTACGCTTTTTCGATGCCCATTGACTTATCGTCATAACTCATGAGCCACTTCTATATCTATTTTTCAAAATCCTCCCTTATCAAACTGGAGCATTTTAACAAATTATCTTAAATTAATTATTTTTAATTTAATAATGATAATTGATAATTGAGTAACAAGTTGCCATGAATAGAATATGTTATTGATCTTTATAAACCGAATCTTAGGTTTAGGAAAACCATTCTTTAAGTTAGACTTAAAATTCTCGATCAATGTTAAGCCTACTATAATATTTATAAATAAATAATAAATTAATTTTTAACTTAAAAATTTTAAATAACCGATCTTATTATCAATAAAATAGTTTTATTAATTGAATTACAATTTTTAATGTTTTGCGGTTTGGTGGTGTGTATTTTTAAGAATATGAATCGTTATCACAACTACCATACGTATTGTATGATTTTCTTGAACTTTGAGTTGAGTGTGGGCAACATTTTGTGATGACTCTCTAGGCAGTGGTGAAAAGTCTTGGTGACAACGATGTGATGGTGATATTGGACAATCACATAACCCAGCCAGGGTGGTGCTGCAGTAACTCCGATGGCAATGGCTTCTTCGGTGACAAATATTTCGACCCCAACCTCTGGATTTTGGGCCTCACCAAAATGGCCACCCTTTTTAATGGAGTCACTAATGTTGTGGGCATGAGCTTGAGGAATGAACTACGCGGCCCCAAACAAAATGTCAACGATTGGTACAGGTAATTACTATATCTACCAAAAAATTAAAACAAGCCAGGCTAATTTATACTAAGTGTTAAACTTAAACATTTATATCATTTAATAACTTTTTAATAGATTAATTAATTTGATTATTAGTTTGGAAGTTTTTATTAAATAAATTAATTTTATGAAATTTTATTCTAAAAAATCAAAACAATAAATACTTTATTGTATTATTTTATTTTTTCATAGAATATATTTTTAAAATAAAATTAATTATCAACTTTTAGATACTATATTTACAAACGTTTAAATTATTTAAAATTTAATATACATAATGATAAAAATGATATAATATAATTCAAATGATTATTGGTAACCTGTATCATAATTTTATCGGCAAATCAAATAAACACGTATCATTTAGAAAATAAAAGAGAAGTGTCAGGGTAAAAAATGAAAGCTGAGATGTATTTTGTGAGGGATAAAACCATGGTTTATTTTAGAAAAAATGAAAGAAAGAAAAAGTTTATGTGACTGACAATAAGCTTTTATGCTAAATTGAAGGTACATGGTGAAAGGAGCAGAAGCAGTTCATGCAGCAAATCCAGACGTTCTTGTGATTCTATCTGGCTTAAATTTTGACAAAGATTTGTCTTTCATTCCACAACGACCAGTGAACTTAACGTTCGAAGGAAAGTTAGTATTTGAAGCACATTGGTATGCCTTCACGGATGGTCAAGCTTGGGTTAATGGAAATCCAAATCAAGTATGTGGACAAGTGGCTGGAAATATGATGAGAACCTCTGGCTTCTTGGTGGACCAAGGATGGCCATTGTTTATCAGTGAGTTTGGTATTGATCTTAGAGGTACCAATGTGAACGATAATCGCTACATTAATTGCTTCATGGCAGTAGCAGCTGAGCTTGACTTGGATTGGGCTTTATGGACTCTTGTTGGTAGTTACTACTTTAGACAAGGAGTCATTGGAATGGAAGAATTTTATGGGGTTCTTAACTGGGATTGGAGCCAAGTTAGAAATACCACTTTCTTGAATAGAATTTCTGCCCTACAACTTCCATTTCGAGGTATGAGCATAACCACTTAACCAGTCCATTTTGTTCTTCCCTAATAATTTGCCTACTCTCCACTATTAGTTGGTTAGAAAATATCATTTCCAGTTTACTACTTTATAGAACTTTGATAGAGATATAATATAAAATTATTATGTTACTATAAAGGTATTGGATTTACCTGGATTGATATATGTATATGGTATTATTAGTATGGTGTATTGTAAAACAATTTATTGTACTGTTAGTATAGAGACACAATGTTTGTACTAACTATATAATTTTCATTAGAGAAAAGTTATATCAAAATTTTATCGTTGATATATGATGTTTTTCTTGTTATGTGTGTCGTTATTTAAAAGCTTAAGCTTTTGTAATTATTGGATTACAACATGATGTTAGAACTAGAGATTTCTTTTTACACGACAGTCAAGAGTGTAGAGATCCTTATTACTTCATTCTTCTAAGTTATAATAAAAAGTTGAATTTCAGTACAAAAGTGGGCTAGTTTCAAGCAAAGGTCTCTTGCTATTAGTTTGTTTGAAAACATCATACCAATTCAGTGCTTGATGAATACTTGAATTATATTCCTTTTTGACATTATGCAGGGCCAGGCATAACGAAAGGAAATCCATACAAATTGATATTCCATCCTTTGACGGGTCTCTGTGTCATGAGAAAACCTTTGCTTGAATCATTGACATTAGGTCCTTGCTCTTTATCTGATGGTTGGAAATACACACCCGAAAAGATTCTAACAATAAAGGGTACTTACTTTTGCATACAAGCAGAGGATGAAGGCACGCCTGCAACACTTGGCATAATATGCTCATCTCCTAACTCTAAATGGGAAATGATCTCAAATTCAAAGTTGCACCTTTCATCTAACCTCAGTGACGGTTCTAATGTATGTCTAGATGTAGATGACAACAACAACATTGTGACCAATGCTTGCAAATGCTTAAGCAAAGATAAAACATGTGACCCTGGAAGCCAATGGTTCAAGCTTATTGATAGTGGAAGAAGGTCTATCACGACAACCTCAACATTATCCATGCTAAATTCATCAGACCTTTCCTGGCAACCATTAAGCTCTGTGTAAGATAGTTTTAAATATTACTGTAAATTTCTCTAATTAGGAGCCATGAAAATATCCCTCTTTCTTGTGTTTCAATAACATGAAAGTGATGTGATAGGCATATCTATATGAATATTAGATTCAATACATATTGTATTATAGTGAAAAATGTACAAAGTTTATAATGTTGGGGTTTCGTCTCTAAGTCCCAAAAGCTACCAATACCAAAATCAATATTATGTCATGAAAAATCTTATCTTAGGATGTGACAGAAGACTATAAAATAAAATGATCAATGTACTCAAGACTTTCAATAATTCAATAAAATGAATATGAGCTTATTGGATCTTAAAAGCAATTTCTTGCACTATAAAAAGAATTTGGATATGATTAACATCGTGATTATAATACATACACACGTAAATATTAATAATAAATTATGCCTCGTAAAATACTCCACTTTTGCTAAATGATTATACAAATGGGCTCTAAGATTAGAGGCATTATTTTTCCCTAAGGGTCCTACTAATCGGTAATTAAGGTACGGTATTACTAACCAATAATCAAACTGAAATAACAATTTATAATGGCAAATTATTGATTACAAATTCATTAGCTATTTATTCAATTGATTTAACAATTTATAGAGAAACTAATATAATTAATTATTTATCCATTGAATTAATAGTACCTTAGCTCGTCTCATTGCCAAATGTCAAAAGCTCGATTTAGTTCTAATATTTGTCATCTATTTCAGGCAGGTTAATATGATGACATCATTTGTACAATTGTTTTTTATTAGTGAGCTAATTTAGAAATTGTTTAAGAAGTCATTTTGTTATTGCATTTCATTTTTTTTTATTAATTTTTAAATTTTCTTATTAAAATTTTATGTATTATTCCTTTAGAGTTTTACAAATAAAAGAACTCTGTAACCTTTAATATGAATTATTTTAGAAAATTTTCTCCTTTTCATTATGTCATATGATTTCTTTGGCATTTAATATTTTTTTTAATTTATGTCAATTTGAATTTTTAATTATAATATATTAATAAATATTAAAAGTATTTAAATGTATATTACATTAGAATATGTTAATTAAATTAATGGTCAAATGATAAATTGGAATAGTTTGTATTTTTTTTATATAAATTTATAAAAACAACGTCATTTAGAAAATTTAAAAAATATGAAGAGTAATTATTTTTGAACGCTTATTCCAATCATTAATTAAATGAAATATTATAACCTAAAAAAGGTATAAACATGAGAGTTGAGTATAACAACACTGAGACACAGCAAAATTATCCAAGTTTCTTTAAGAAGCAAAGCATAAAGCCTAGCATGAGATTGATTTTTAACACAAGAGGTAAAGGCGAAGTATGAGGTAATGTATTCCCAAAATGTGCGATGCAATCCCAGCTGTTCATTAATGCAAAAGCTTACTCGAGACTAAATAAAAATAATATTTGTTACCCTTTTAGACTTAACATATTTTAGTTAACGATTAAAACTCGTCACTCCATTTACATAAAGCAACCTTATTTTATACTTGTGTTTACGGTGAAAAATGACAGTTGTAAACAAATAATCCAAAGATCAATCTGGGGACTGGATTTAGGTCCTCTTTGGGTTCTTTTAAGTGTGTCGTTAACGTGATGCTCAGATTAACGGCGTAAAAGAGTATTAAGCAAGAATAGTGAATACTAAATGTGCACAATTAAATCAAACGTAGATGCCTTTACAGAAATGTAGCAAGTCGGAACTAAACAACGTACGAAGACATAAGTAACAAGAATCCTCACAACGGCGAACAACGGTCACCGTAGGTCTCCTTGTAGCTGGTGTCTGGCGCGGTGCAGGGTTTCAGCGTCTCAGAGTGTTTAGGTGCGGTGTCTGGGTGCAAAAAGTCGTCCCTTGTGAAATAATGCTTTGTAGTATTTATAGACATGAATATCACCACCGTTTTCCTCCTTTTGCGGGCACTTCTTAGTAACTGACTTCAACTGTTGATGCTCACTATCCACGATCATGTTGTTTGTTGTAACTGCTATCGCCCATGATCTCCTTTGCGTAGTGGTGAATGTTGATAACTACTGGTAACCGCTTTTGGATTTTTCAATACTCCTATCTTTCGAGTATTTCTGAGAGAAACCTAGAAAACTCTTTTAATGTTATGGCCTTGGAATAGTTTCTTCTTGACTTCTCTTTTCGAGCCATTCTGGAGTTTTGAGAGTCTGTCTGGGTCTTGTGGACTTAGAACATTTTCTTTGCTCATTTCTGTTTTTCGATCAATTTTGGAGGGACTCTTGAGCTCGACCAAATTTGTGGACTTAGAATATTTTCTGACCACTTCTTGTTTTTCGAGCAATTCTAGAGGAAATCTGGAACTCAGCCAAGTTTGTGGACTTAGAATATTTTCTTACCACTTCCTGCTTTTCGAGCAGTTTTGGGTGTCAGGTACTTGGAAACTCATCAAATATTCCTCGAAAAGCCATCAGTTTTTTGTGGACTTGGAATATTTTCCTGTTAGTCCTGTTTTTCGAGCAGCTTTTGGGTGTCAGGGACTTAAAAACTCCTAAAAACTCCTCGAAAAACCATCAGTTTTGTGGACTTGAAATATTTTCTTGCCAGTTCTATTTTTCGAGTAGTTTTTGGTGTCAGTGACTTAAAAACTCCTCAAAACTTCTCGAAAAAGCCTTTAGTTTTGTGGTCTTAGAATATTTTCTTGTCTTTCAAGCAGTTTAGAGAAAAATCAACAATGTGACAAAAATTTCTTAAAATAGCTCGAAATGTGTTCCTTAAAATAGCTCGAAATGTGTTCCTTTTAATTAAAACCAAAGGTCTTCCAATATTCTCTTCTGTTTAGGTTTATCTTTGGCTCCTTCTTGACCCTCAAAACTTGTTGAGATGTAGTTTCCTTCAAGATGATTTTTAACTTAGAAAATTTTCCTTATCCCAAACAGATGCCCCCCAAAATATTAATATCTCAGGTAGATGAGATTTTAATATTTTTTTATTTTAATTGGAAAATTTTCATTTTCTAATTTCCCGCCATTTTTTATGGCGTCTCTGCCACTTACCTGCTTTATGTCAGGCACGTCGTCCAAAGTCGGCGCAATAAATGCAGGTACTGCTTGGCAGTTACCGAAAATGTCCCATTATTGAGACGTGCTTCGTTTTGTTGGGGATTTAAGGCCATTTTTGATCGAAAAGACACCCCACTATCTCTTCATCTTCCCACTAAGTGCCAAAATACTCTGGACTTGGGCTCTTGTATGGGCCTTACACGAGGTTGGGGACCAGTATAAAAAGGTGAAGTTACCTTCCCATTTTTTTACACTTTCATATTTTACTCCCTTCCTAATAGCTCTGTTCTCTCTCTTCTACTTTTGAATCGAAATTTCTTCCAGTTCTTTCCTATCTTCTCTTTTTCCTTTGAAATGGCCTCTAAGTCTAAGGTCCCGTTGGCTCTCTCCAGTGCTGAGCTCGTGCCTATTGGTCATTCGAGCTACCTTCCTGAGCCGCCTCTCGAAGAGGAGAAGTTGGCTATTTGGAAATCCCAGGTACTTATTCCTTTTACAATGAACTCGAAGCCCCATGCATTTTTAGGTCCTTTTGTTCCTCAGGACTCTGTTGATACTCCTTTTTCTGTCGAAGGGATCATGGCTTTTTCCTCAAAATATAATCTAGATTCCCTCCAAAGATTACAAAAAATCTTTCGTACTATGCCCCCAGTTACTAAAGATCTTTATCTTCCTTGGTTGGATAGAGTTGAAAAGGAAAAACAAGATAGCTGGAAAGTGATAAGGATTTACGACATAATTCAACTTTCTAGGTACAATTTGTCTTATAATTTTCCCATGATCATGAGCTCTTTCTTCTTTTGGAATCAAAGTACCAGTTCTTTTCATGTTCCTTGCGGTATGATAACCCCTACTCTTTTTGATGTTGCTGCTATTACTGGGCTCAAGCCTACTGGTCCCTCATTTCGACCAGATTCCCATCCTAAAAATCCAGATGTAATTCCTAATTTTTCAAAAACTTTCTTATCAACTTTTCATCTCTCTCAACATGAATAGAGATGGTCCAGTTACTGATGAAGAACATGTTGCTTTCCTTATGTTCTGGCTTTCGGCATATGTTTTTTGCTCGAGGTCACTCCAAGTTCCAAAAGCTCTTCTTACTCTTGCCCAGCTTTTACATGAAGAATCTTCAATATGCCTGGGGAAGCTGATCTTGGGGAATCTTTATGAAAATTTGAACGAAGCAGTGGCTTCTTTAAGATCTAATGAGTCTTTACCTGTCGTTAGTGGTCCACTTTGGTTGCTTCAGCTGTGGCTGAATGCTATTTTTGAAGATAAGTTACAAAGTTCTGAACCTCCTCATACTTCTCGAGAAATAGAGGGTTTTCGACTTACTTTTCTTACTCCAAGTATTGCTAAAAAGCATTATTGTGATGCTTTTCGACAATATTTTACTTTCTTTTTGAATCTACATACCTTCAGTCCTCAATTAGCCCCATTTTCTTCTCGAAAAATTGGACCAGTTTGGTTCAAACGCCCTTTCCCGTCGAAAACTCCAGGTGCCCAGGCTGAAAGTTTGATAATTTGGAGGCACTTCCTCTCTTGTTAACTTCTTTTCTGTAGCTTCACTCCAAGACCTTATCAGGTGGTCGCTTATCAGCCTAATTTGGTGGCTCGACAATTTGGCCTAAGCCAATTCAGGCCAACTCTTATGCTTCAAGGGACAAATCAGAGTGTCTTGGATAATGCTCGAAAAAGCATTGACAATTTGAACGAAGCCATTAGCTTCTTTAGAAAATGTAGGCCAGAGCTTTCTTCTGTAGAATTCGAGCTTTCTTTCTATAGCACACAAGCATATGAGAATTGGTGGTCTAGCTATTATCAACAATGTGATATTTCTGTCGAAGCTTGCTACCAGAGGATGACCAGTGCTTTTTCTGTGTTTCAGAAGGGAGATCCAAAAGCCAAGACGAGAGGTACGCATATTCGAGAAATTCAATCTTTTGAGCGATTTTTTAAAGTGCTTTACTTACCCCAGAG